GGGGGCGTGTCGAGGCGCCCTGCTCCGCCCTGCTCTCTGGCCCGCGCTCCCCGCGCGCTCTACTCGCCGGGAAGGCGGCGCTGGCGGCGGCTGCTTGTGTGCGGGGTCCCGGCGCTGCTCTCCCGCCGCCGTGGGCTCTGCAGCCCGAGTCCGGCTACCTTGCTCCCAGGGCGTCCTTCCGCCCGCGGCCCCGGCTCAGGTTCCAACTTTGTCAGCTCTCCTGTAGCCACCACGGGCTGGGACCCCGCGCCCTCCGGCCGGCCGCGCGCCACCAGCGCAAAGCGCGGCAAGCGGCTGCGGTCCGGAGCAGGGCCGGGGACGGCGGCTGTCTGGAGTTGGCGCGGCGCGGCCAGGAGACTCGGAGCGGCTCGGCGCTGGAGGACGCGGGAGCAGCGTCCGCACCTGGTGAGCGCTTAGTCCCGCACGGCTGGGAGGACGCGGGCGACAGTGGTTGTGGGCGGCCGTGGTGGGCTCAGGCACGGCCGATTGTCGGCGTCCGGGGCAGCGGTGGTCGCGTTCTCGGCGGGCGCCGGTGGCGGAATCGGAGGCGGGGGCCGACACTTAGGCGAAGGTCCCTCGGCGACCTTCGCCGAGCTTGGGCTCTTCGCAGCCCGGGGATCTCCGTATCCCCACAGCCCGGGCAGCGACTCGGTGTGCGCGTGGGAGATCGGGCTTCAGGGGACTTGGGCTCCGCTCTGGTGAGACCGAGGCCGTCTGGGTCCGCAGCTGGTGGGCGCTCCTCTGTGGCTCCCTCGCGCGCGGGCGCTTCGCGTCCTAGGTCGGGTTTCGGGCCGCAAGCGGACGCAGGCTCCGCAGGGCACGTAGCCTCCCAGGTGTGTTGGACCCCTGCTGCCCGGGCCCGCCTGGCCCGCGGGTGCAGAATCCGACTTTGGCGGGAAATGCGCCCTGGGGTGCCGGCCTCGCTTTGTACCTGGGCACCGCCGCGGAGTTGGGCTTTAACTTTCGGGCTCCAGGGCGTCCCGGGGACTCCCGGCAGGCGGCGCTGCGAGCGTGGGATGTGAGCCGAGCGGACGCCGCGGGCACGTTTACTGTCCCGGGAGTGGTAGGGGGTCTCGTCCGCAAACAGTGGGTGCTGACTGCTCTTGCATCGATTTCCTGTGGAACGGGCGCGGGGGTGGGGTGGGCAGGTGATCTGGTGGCCAGAACGGTCAGCTTTGCTGCTAAAAGGGACACCACCTAACGGGAGACTTCCCAGAGACAAACGGATCCGCTAAAACTTGCTGGTTGTGCGCCTGCTTCTCCTTGGGAGTCTTGATTGCCTCGGAGAGAAACGGAAATGCAGGGAAGATGGTGGGTTGTGTTTTAATACGGACCCAAACTTTGGTTCCGTAGGAGCGCATTGTTACAACGGGGCTGATGGTCCTATTTTTAAGAAAAACAGTGTGGTTGCCGAGTTTTGGAGCCAGGAGAGCTGGGACTGGCTGAGATTGGAAACAGCAGGTATGTTATGATTTATAGGAATGACTCAGAAAAAAAGACTTAGTCGAAAACAAGTCGACTTTACCAAGGAAGAATGTAGTGGCTAATTTGGATTGCTAAACAAACTGTTTTGCATGTTCTGCTATTTATGAGAGAGCCCTGGTCAGCAAAGGAACCCGGGATTTGGGGTGGGGGTGGTAGGGGCAGTGGCTACGAACCAACGGTTAGTGGTTCTAACCCAACAAGCGCTCCTCAGGTGGGAGATGTGGCCGCCTTGCATAAAGAGGACAGCCTTGGAAAATCCCAATGGGGCAGTTCTCCTCTGTCTTATAGAGTCGTTCCATGGGTCTAAATACACTTGGCAGCAGTGTGTTGGGCTGGGTTTAATGTTTACATGCACTATTTTGGGTGAATATATTTCACAATTTCAGTTAATGTAGATAATGCCTTAACTGACATATACCATAAATACATTTTCTTGTCATACCTGTGTTTACCCAAAGGAAACATGAATTTCGTCCCCAAAGGTTTTAACACCCCCATCATGTTTTTCTCTTTCTTAATGAAAAAGCGGTCCAAAATGTAATTACTTGGCTCACTTAAAACAGATCTCTTGTCTCCTGGAGAAAAGTTTCGTAGGAAATGCAGCTATAGGCAGTCCCACTTCCTGCCTGCACACTCGGGGAGCCCTCGGGTGGATGCCCTGGCATCTCCCTTTAGCCACATGCCTTCTTTAGCCCTCACACACTTTGGTTAACTGGAGCAGTGGATGGTGATAATCCCCGGATGCCTTTTTCTAGGCACACACTCATTTGGTAATCTTAATGGGAGACAGCTGAGGCTTTGGTCTCCTGGGTGCATAGGAGTTCCTGAGATGCTCAGGATTTGGTAAGAATACACCTGTTTTCTTTTCTGCCTGTTCCCTTTAAAAACACGACTTTGTCTCAGTGCCAGGCAGGAGTGAGACTGATTCTGCTTGCCAGGGTGTGGAGACAGATGTAGGCACACTCAGGCGAAGTTTTGCTGAATTTTTCACATGTCTGTGGGCATACTCAGGGCCCATTCGTGGGTTTGCAAGAAGAGGTATTATTTTCTGACCACATGCTGTGTGTTTGGCCTTTTGCTGGGGGAATTGGTGAAGAGAAAGGGGGAGACATGCTAAAGCCAGCCAGTGGCCGCTGTGTGGTGAGCTCATTGCTCAGTCTTAGAAGACAGGTCCTCTGGATTATGTTGAATGTTCCTTTTCTTAGATGTGTTGGAAAAAAGGCCTGGGGTTCTACAAGCAAATCTGGGAAATATTGTGGGTTTGGCTCCACATCCCGTAATAAAGTGGATATCACCATAAAGTAAGTCACGTGAGTTTTTTGGTTTCCCAATGAGTATAAAAGTTAGGTTGACGCTCTCCTGGTGTCTGTTGAGTGTGCCGTAGCATGATGAAACTGTTGGAAGTATCATGAGAGTGAGCACATGATGTGAGAACACAGCTTTGAGGGTCTATGGAGGCAGCGAGGCTGCACCGTTCCGTTCGCTAGGTGAAGTTCAGCCAAGTGCCATGACATGGAATCTACCCATGCTTGCAGCCTCTCAGCCGTAGAAAACCCTGTGGAGCTCAGTTCTACTGACACACACGCACGCTCCGGGAGTCCAAAGCTACCCAGGCAGCAGCAACCGCCTGCAGGATTAACTTGGTGATGGTTTTTAAGGATTTCACTTGGTGATGGTTTTTAAGGATTTCAAATGTATGGGTGTGTATACATACCTATATCTACCTGGTGTGGCACTGTAGGATAAAACCCAGGACCATAAGGTCTATTTGAACCACAAGGTCAGCAG